ATTATATGGTTGCAAGCAAAAAAACCGAAACAAAAAGAAAAAAACATATTTCGAAATTTTTTTCTTTAACTTAATATAACTCGGAATCAGTAAGCGGTGAAAATTTTACATCTTCAAAAGAGTTGTTTATTTTGTCAAGATAAACAACTTTGCTGGAGACATTAAGTCTCCAAAACGTCAGAGAAAGAAGTTAGATTATAGCGCCATCTTTGCGAAAGAGTTTTGAACTATTTTTTATGTCAATAGATGGTCCTTATTATGATGAGAATCTTTGCCAAGAAACTAAGTTGCGGAAATGCTTTGTTTCGGAGTTATTAGTTTTTCTCCGCTGGATTGCATTCCTGGCCCAGTGTGCAACGTGGACGATATTTTAATTATATTAGTGCCACCAAATGAGTCAATTCCAATATAAATTGTTTACCATTTTGAAGAGTTTAGTTCATAGAGCAATATTGGTCAAGACAAATATCGCTTTTGAGCTCAAGTTTCTCGATAGTAGCCAAAAATGTAACAGATCTATAAATAGATTTCTGGTAGAGTTGTGACCTGTCACAATCACGATCGTCAAACAGCTGATGGTAGTAACACTTGTTATATTTCTATCAATGTGCGAAGTATTCTCCATGGCGATCCATCAAGTTGACGAAAAAAGTAAAAAGCAACTGGTGAATGTCGTCTTCGGTGGTGATCCATCACCGATCTGGTCATTCCCGACAATCACGACACTCATCTGTGCTCGTTTTAAATCAGTTGCTGTTTTGCTTGCTTATGTGAGTGTGTTGGTGAGTGAGCCCAACAGCATTTGTTTAATTTTTCCAGCTTTGTTTGTAACTCACACAGTAACGCGTGCCGAGACAAAATTGGAATGAGAAGGCATTGTTTTCATTTTCTTCAGTCATTTCGCTTTTTCTCATCATCGTACTGCATAAGTCTTCACTGTTTTCGTTGTGTTTTACATCATCAGCAGAGAGTGTTAGGTTTTGCCTGTGAGCAGCGACCATACTGATGATTGTTGTTTGCTATGGCTCTACCTCTCATTGCGTGACAAAAAGTTCTGTCAGCGATAGTCGGTTGATGCGTTGGCGAGTGTCGAGTGAGTGTCATGATATTTTGCATCACTGAATTACTGGGCGTTAGAGGCTTCGGATCGGAATAACTCCTAATCACTTTTTGCATTGCACCAGAGATTGATATTATGTTTTTGCTGTTCGAAAAACTTAAAATGCATACTTTTTTACGGTTGTTTTCGTGATTATCCACGATCTTATTTCAATGTATACAGAAAGTAAAACGTGTTGCAACTCACAGGAGAAAATATTATAGTATATGATGAAGAGAACGTCAACGTCTATTGTGCTAGAAGAGTAAAGCGCCAATTGGGATTAGCATTGATAAACTAAGCTTTCTATTTAAAATCGAACCACCAAATTTTAACTTGAGCCCCATGGAATTTTTCATATTTGAAACACTTTACAATAGACCTGTGCGACGGTTCATATCATCGGTGGCGGCGGCGGTGGCGTAGAAACTGTTTTAGCCTCGGCAGCAGCGGCTAAATCTTGGGGGTTAATTGCAAGGGGCTGTTACTGAACATGCATTTTAAACCAACATGAAAATGGTATATCTATTCAATCTGATAATTTTCTCATTGATTCTGAACCAAACGTCAAATCTTATACAAGAACGTCAAAATCTAAAACATGTTGAACTCAACCAAAATGTTGGGGGTTTAGCAGCTGTAGTATCCCTGACTCCCAGAACGAGTTTGATAATTGCCAATATCGTTCTAGGCACATTTTTCACCAACAAAAGATTTTTTTAAATTCAAATGCGTCTTAAAGTTTAACATGCTTGTTTTATTTTCCAGTTTGGTGCAGTTTGTGAGACATAGGGGAAATAGCTAAATGTCCCTTATTTGGGCTCATACATAAATTCAGGAATCGGCTAAATTTTCAATAGCGACTAAAAATATCCATAAGTACCGTCCCAATGATGCGTTCATCCAGATAAAATTGATAAATAGCTGATTTTTAGCGATGGGCCCAATTTTAGATCCATAGTCCAACATTAGAGCCATTTCCTCTACTTCTTCTAAAATTTAGAAGCTTTTCAAAGCTTGTAATCGTCCGCATATTAAAAAAAGTAGAAGGTATTGTGCCTAGGGGCACGAACGGGAGCTTGACGTAGGACCGCTAGGGCACGAACCAAATGTGAAGAAAATTTAGTTCTTTTAATTGATCGATCATCTATAATCTTAACTCTTTCCGTTTTTGATTTGTAGGCGTACCAAATTTGTAGTATTTTTTTTTTAAAGAGAAAGTTGATGAAGAGAATCGATCAAAATCACTTGCACCCCTGCTTCCAAGTTTGGTTACAAGATTACAACTCTGGAGAGCATTTTGTGTGGTCTTTGAGGGCATGTGTTTCTCAATAAGGACCAACAGGCAGATAAATTCTATTTTTACTTTTTACTGTAATAAGCTTGTTGGCCCAGAAAAGGGCCGTTTTGTTGCCAAAGTTCGTGATGATTTAACCTCCGAAGCTGTACAGAGTTCGTTTGTCACTTCAAAGCGTAGACGACATCGATGGCCGGAGACACGTTTAACACCGCCACGGCGGACCAGACGACTGCTTTTGTTTCTTCTGCTGCCTGCTCGCCACGGCGTCCGAAGCGAAAATGAGTTGAGGCAAGACAGCAGCGTTGGTTTATATCTTTTCAGGTTAAAGCAGAATGATGTGCAACCAAGTGGTGCTCGATTATGACGACTGCGTTTGGGAACAACGTAAATTTCATGAAAACAGTGAAAAAATTATCATTTTTTATTTGTACTTTGGATAATGCTTGACTTTACCACTTTTTTAATAGCTTTTTGTTGAAAATCATCAGTTGGAAGCATTGCGTAGACATATTTTTAATCTATTGGTGATAAAATTATTGAAATTGATTCAGGGGCAGCTGAGTTATTAATGTTCAAAATCTTTCATAATTTTGTTTCATGTTCCATTTTCGGTTTTCACAAAGTGTACCCCAGTATAGAAAATAAAGTCGTAGTCCTATGTCAATATAACGGCGTGTACAGGCAGTGCGCCGACTCAAAATCATCGACGGAGGCAGCGTGTGAAAAAGTGCAGCGGCGGCAGCGTGGTGTGGCGGCGCACAGGTCTACTTCACAATCGATGTTTTTTGCCCTGGTGCACGTAGAAGAAGCATTTTTTATTAGATTTCAGTGGTTTTCTTGAGATTTTAACACATAGGAGGACCATGCTTAAAAATTAAAACTACGATTAAAAAAAAAAAAAAAATCCCATAGACGGAGGATGGTCCAACGGACTTGTATTCTCAGTTTTCATAGAGTTTTTTTTTATATGATCGGCCTATGGAGCACCGTGGATCTAACATTTCTGGATGAAAACCCATTGGAACCATTTTAAAGAGCAGTCCCACGACAAATGACGATTCTACAAAACTCAACCATCTACGATTTGCATGAAACTTTGCATAATTGTATGATATGGGCAATAACGGCACTTCTAATCGAAATGTCGTGTGAGACCGAATTACCGATTTAAAGTTTTAAAAGCTCATAGAAAATACGAACTTTTTGAATGATTCAATTTATAACACTAAAAAAATTACAAAAATCGTAGAACAAGAACATTTGATCTTATTGTTGAACTTTTTGTTAAAACGTCTTTTCTTCTAATTTATGCACAGAAAACAATTAAAAAAAAATAATCAGTTTCATTTAATTTGGCGTGGAACTGCTCAGAAGACAATGATGTTGGTCATAGGTATGGAAAATTATCTAAATTTATTTCACTAACTTTTTTCAGCAACAGAATTCCGTAAAACGATGTATTAAGCATTTGTAAGTTTTGATATTAGCTGCAACTTTTGTCAACAGCGCCGCCGGTGGTGTAGTGGTAAGCGTGATTACCTCTCACCCCAGCAGGCCTGGGTTCAATCCCAGTCGGCGCCGCCGGGATGTGCTGAGGCATAACATCTCTGATCACGGAAGGGAAGTAAAGCCGTTGGTCCCCGGTTCATGAGTTGATGGGTCAATAGGTAGGGTCCAGGTGTGGGAGCTGCCTTCCTGGCGTCGGTAGCATTGGTGCGGAAAACAAATCAAGGAAAAAAAGCTTTTGTCAACAACTCAAATGAATGACGAACTAGAGCGGGCAGAACTTGTTTTTGTTTTTCAGTGAATGTAAATTACTTTTATTGAAAAACAATGGTGGGTTCTGTTCACTCTGGTTCATTATACATAAGAGATACAGATTTGAGTTATAGAAAAAAGTTGTAGTTAATTTTAAAACCTACAAATGCTTCATACACAATTTTAAGGAATTGTGTTGATGAAAAAAGTTAGTGGCAAATGAATGTACGAAATGAATGTTAATGATTGTCCATGTCTGGTTGGTCATATTTCCCCGGTGGTCCGTTTCACACTATTTCGCTCTACTCTCATACATGGTGAGTTATGAATGTAACGAACAGTAGGCACAAACCACCGCCGTGTGGTTCTTTGAAATTTTAATCCCCATTCAGTAATGATGTCTGCCTGGTGCACTGGCAGTGACGCCGCCTGGACTGGTGCAACGATGAAAGCGCACGATATGGAGGGAAACACTTACTTCAGTTGGTTCTAAATGAAGCTAACACCATAATGAGCATGAATCTCATTAAATCAGAGGAAACATGAATGCTACCACACTGGTAAATAAAACCGTATGAAAGGTGAATGTAAGATCGAGTACAAAGGTGTGCGTTCGAGCGCTCTGTTTATGGCCTTCGCATTGTGCAAAAAAAGGTATAATGAATTCCTGAGTGGATTAGCGTGAACCTAAGCGTTGATGCAATATGTTACGTCGTTTGATAAGGTTTTGAAGTAATTGGATGTCAGAAGAAAAAATATTCCCCAAAAATCAACTGTAAACTGTAGGCATACGGCAAGCAAACATTCAAAATGCCACAGCTAGAAGAGCACAATCTACATTACCCGTATTCATCCTCGTGGTTTCCATCGCCGTCAAGTGCGGAACCATCATAGCTGACACTGCACGGCAGGACGCTGAAATTGAAAAACATCATAAGCATCGGTTGTCATCATCAGTTTTGGAATCCGTGACTGTGACACACTGTTCCGGAAAGAAAATCAGCCAGTTTCTATTTCCTGACAAACAAAAGCGCCAAATCCTTTGAGTAACACAATCGTAGCGCAAAACAACATCCTCCAAAAATATTCAATTTTCGGGGCAAACGTAAAAAATTCAGACAACTGTTAGCTTCCCACCCAGTGTGTCACATTGCAACCTGTGTCCGAAAGTCCATCGGAAGCTAGCTCACCTGACTGTTGAATTGGCCCGGACGCCGATGCCCAGCTCGGTCAAACAGTGGAGAGTGGTTTCGCACGGATCACCGGCTGGCAGCGGGAACAGCACCTGGTAGTCGTGTCCTGACCGGTCCGGCTGCCACAGCACGTGCTCAATCTCTAGCTTTTTCAGCAACTCGTCAAGTACCTGTTGGTGAGCGTGATGGTGGTGGTGGTAGTGCATACGAAAAACGAGAGATTCGAGAACAGCATCAGGTTAGAGAGATTGAAGTGAAGCTATTCAGTGGAAAATTAATGACCGTAAAGTTCTTGAAACGGAATTTCTAACCCGAGGGGCAAATCACTTGCAGAGAAGCTGTTCATGAGCTGTTGAAATTTTGTATTGCTGGTGTGAGTATGGATGAGGATGGGTAGTTGGTGGGAAGATTTTATCATGGTGGGATCTTCTCATGAATTGTAAGTTTTTGTCGGTAAACTGGAATCATATCGCAGTTTGTTTATTTATTTTTGTAAAGGCCATCATTGAATTCTTGCTTTGTTTGAGAAACTAGGTCCATGTCATGTTTTGAAATCAATAGAACTAATGTTTGATTTTTCTTTCCATATAATGGAAACGTGGAGCCTCTACACACAAACAAAGACAAATTTGATTTGGTCCCTGGTAAAGAAAAAAGCAAGCCATTGTTAAAAATGGAAATCTTTTACGTTGGCCTATGCACCATGGCATGTTCGGGATATTTGAGTGAGTGACACAAAATATTCTTGATAGGTGGTCCTTTTATCATGGTTGGTGGCATTTAATTGAGTGCCTTCACGCTATTTCAAAACTACCAAAATTTGGGTACAATCCACCCAGATTTGTCAAACTGAACCTACCCAAAAATGGGTTAACTATGTTGGGAGCGACAAGTTGACAAATTAACAACGTCGATCGGATTCATGTCGGTGTTGTTCATTTGTCAACTTTTAACTCCCAGCACAGTTTTCCCATTTTTGGGTAAGTTCAGTTTAGACCGAACTGGGTGGATTCTACCCAAATTTTGGTAGTTTTGAAATAGCGTGTACATTCCTGCATAGTGTCGATCGGTTTTTGTTTTTATCAAATCTTTCAAGGCCCATTTGGCAAAATTTTAAGACCTTGTTGGCGAATTCCAATTAATGTCAATGACATATAAAACAGCAAAAAAGGTTATCTTCCATTTAATTCCACTTAATTAATTTTGGTATCCATGACATATACATATTTCGACTACAATGTGCAGTAGACTGATGTAAATTTTGACATTTTCGCTCCACAGTGCTCAAAAGGTTCCAAATCGGGTCCTGATTAGTCTCCCAAAATTTGAACTCATTTGAAAAGAAACTGACTTGGCACAAACCATTTGAAGTTTATATGGAAATTACTATGGGAAATACAAACTTTTTGTTCATTGTCTTCTTACCCTTTTCAATATGGCACTGTTCAAAAATTCAAAAGCTATACTTATGGAAAATTTTCTCAGCTTCAACTTAGCAGAATATAGTTGTTGAGCCAAACGTCAAATAAAATAGTTATTAATTGTTTAAGAGATTGATAATCTTATGGCATGATCAAGCAACTGTTTTGTCAGCAACACTGTATCTTGCAGTGTGACATTGTAAGTAGCCATGATTTTTGTGCTCTATTCCTAGCGCCAGAAACACCAATGTTGCCTGCTGAACAGTTGATTGAGCATAATCGTACGACATTAGTGGCTTTAATTATTGATAACTTTTGATGCTTACATTATATTGAAAAGTGGTTTGGGACAAAGTTGTAGCTGAGAAAATTTTCTACGAGCTCAGTTATCATTTTTTAAAGCAGAGCGATATGGTAAATTGTTAGATGGATATGAACAAAACATTTGGTTTTCCTATAGTTATTTCCATATAAACTTCAAATGGTTTGTGCCAAGTCAGTTTCTTTTCAAATGAGTTCAAATTTTGGGAGATTAATCAAGAAGTGATTTGGAACCGTTTGAGCACTGTGGTGCGAAAATGTCAAAATTTGCATCAGTCTAATGTGCAGTCTTCATCAGTGTCATTCCCACTAAAGAACTTATCAAAATAAGTACTCATCCCATAGATAAAAAAGTCAAGATCACAGGTATAAACATGAAACTACAATGTGTTGAATCAGAACCTACCTAACTAATAAAAACCCAAAGATTTAAGTAAACTAAAGGAGAAAAAACTATACAACTCTTTAATAAGGAAAATTCCAAAGGCTTGGTAGCCATCATAATGAAGTAATGAAATTGGGTAGTTAGCGGAATGCTTAAATATAATAGCAAAAAAGGTTATCTTCCATTAATTCCACTTAATTAATTTTGGTATCCATGACGATAGTGTTCCCAAGTTCACAAGGCACAGAGAACGATAATGTTAGAATTATTTTAATAAAATCGACTACCCCCTTGATACTCTTACTCATTTTACAGCTGGTATAATTAGTTTGATGGATTCAGGTCCTTCTATCCCACTTGAAATCACTGAAATGGGGTCGATTTTTTTTATGATCGAGTTCCACATATGTTATGTGCTGTGAAGCAACATCAATTGTTTACTTACGACACCAAAGATGAACGTTTGTTCAAGGTTGTAATGGCAGGTTTGCCCAGTGGTGAATCTGAATCTGAATGTGAGTCTGAAAACCATATCAAAGATGAATTGACAAAATTACTTGGAGTTGTGCCACTCCAAGTAATCAAAATGAAAATGAAGTCCCGTCTTGACGATTTGCAAAAATGGGATTTCTAATGATTTTTATTTAGCTCACTTCAAGTCTAGTTAACTAAATAACCTTTACCTTAGAAAAAAAAACTGTAGCCTTATGCTCCATGTCCGAGTTAAGGGGGTATTCCCGATCTTTTTTTTTTCAAAAAATCAAATTTTTTTTTTCACGTTTTTTTGTACTTTAGACTATATACTTTCATCCCCCCAAGCCGTTTTCCGATCAGCGAATTCGGTGTCCAGGCATAGCTGACTAATGGTAAGAACCCCCAAATGGTTTTAACTAAAGTCAAAACTTTAAACGCGTTTTTCTCGAAACCACATTTTTTTATCGGGCGAAGATTTTTCTCAGAAACTATAAAAGAAATTGACTTGAATCTTTGCGCATTTTGTTCCTTAATAAATTCTTTGGAGCTTCTCCCACTTTCAGCCAAAAATATTAACATTTAACATTGTTTGAAGCACCTTAAAGCTGCAAAAAAGCGGGCTAAAAATCGCCTGTTTTATCATATGGCCGCCATTTTGTTAATTTGCAAGATTTTTTGCTGCCAACGGGAGAAGCTCCAGAGAATCTTATGCAGATTATTAATTTCATCGCGAAATCTGTTTCAGATGAAGCCGTTCCAGAGAAAAGTCTTCGCCCGTCCAGGCGTTTGCGGTGAACAGGGGTCTGTTTGCCGCCATTTTGTGACGTCAATAATGTCTTTTTTTATGTCGGAAAAAATTTATTTGTAAACTTTAATGTTCAATAAACAAGAATCCCAAAGAGTTAGGCGCATTACTATTCATTTTCCTTGAAAAAAAAAATAATTGAAAAACAGGCCGAAAAAAGGCAAAAGATTGGGAATACCCCCTTAAGTGGGAACACTTCAGAAAGACTGGAGGAAATGTCCAAAACCTCACTCAGGGCCTTAAGTGCCAGCGATAGGGTCACGGAACAAAAAATTGCTAATTGCCAGCTAATTGCATAAATTGTGGTGATTCCTCTCACGCAAAAGACGACTGTCCTGTGAAGGAAGATCCTAAGAAATTTAAATGCTCAAATTGTGGTGAAAACCACAAATCCAATGTTTGGCAATGTAAGACTCGCAAAGCGATCCTACATGCTCATTCTAAGTGACAGGTAGGAAACGCTGCACGTTTTTATCAGGTACTAACTCCTCTGCTGTTCCGATACTTATAAATCAAGAGCAAATTTTCATTATGTCGTAAGTAACATTCGCACCGATCCGAGAAAAATAAAGTTTTGTTTTGATGACCGAAAAGTTATTCCTATTTCCAATTAACCACATATAATCTCATAGTGATAGCAATGTTTAACATATTAAGCCGGGTTTTAATCATACAAATGCAAATCGCTAGCTTTCATGCTAAAAAATACTGGTTTTTGAGTCTAAAGATATTATACGTCGTTTGGTGGCCCCTATTGTTACTTAAGTCAAAGTGTATTTACCAGGATATTCGGGAGAATTCAAGAGCAAATTTTCATTACGTCGAATGTAACAAAGGTAAACAAAGTCGAGCTATCAGTATCAATCGATTCTCCTGCTATTACACTATATACTGTCCGAATATAGGATCAAATCCCATTTTTAAATTTATTTACCAGTCAAATTGCTTTTTGACGTAATCACCTTCCGATCAAAATAGTTTTCGATGTTACTTAAGTCACCCAACTTCTATGGAGATGCCATTTGACTTAAGTAACAGTGCTGAGAAACCCGTGAAAAGTGTACGTTCGTCGTTTCGTTTTCTCATTATTAAAGTGAATAAATCGAACTGTTTGTTGCTAAGATGATTTCGGTGGTCATAAAATGATGAATGGGCTGCACGTAAGGAGACGTAATTGATAATTCTCCCGAATATCCTGGTAAATACATTTTGACTTAAGTAACAATGGGGGCCACCAAACGACGTATAATAACTTTTGACTCAAAAACCAGTATTTCTTAGCATGAAAGCTAGCGATTTGCCTTTGTATGATTAAAACCCGGCTGAATATGTTAAACATTGCTATCACTATGAGATTATATGTGTTTAATTGGAAATAGGAATAACTTTTCGGTCATCAAAACAAAACTATATTTTTCTCGGATCGGTGCGAATGTTACTTACGACATAATGAAAATTTGCTCTTGAATTATCGTCTCCTTACATGCAGCCCATTCATCATTTTAGGACCACCGAAATCATCTAAGCAACAAACAGTTCTATTTATTCACTTTAATACTGAGAAATCGAAACGACGAACGTACACTTTTCACTGGTTTCTCTGTGCTGTTACTTAAGGCAAACGGTATCGCCATAGAAATCGGGTGACTTAAGTAACATCGAAAACTATTTTGATCGGAAGGTGGTTACGTCAAAAAGCAATTTGACTGGTAAATAATTTAAAAAATGGGATGTGATCCTATATTCAGACAGTATATTAGTGTAATAGCAGGAGCATCGATTGACACTGATAGCTCGACTTTGTTTACCTTTGTTACATTCGACGTAATGAAAATTTGCTCTTGAAATACACTAATGATGAACCGTCATTTCAAACTGCGTGAAATATTTCACAAAATTCTGGCAAATAACACACGATCCTGTCATGAAAACTATCGGGCGGGATTGACCCAAGGGGGGGAGGTGGCTGTCAAATACGAACAATCGTCACCTACCTCGCATAACTGGTTCCAAACGTAAACAAGCCATAAGAAAACTACAGCGTTTGTTTACGTTTGGAACCAGTTTCATAGAAGATGATCAGTAGGCTGATTTGACAGCACGTCCCCCCCCAGAATAAAAAGCGATTCTCTACCCTGCACGGTAACCGCAAAATACCCATTAATGACTACAAAGTAAGCATTTTCTAGGGAAACTGGGACTACCCATTAAATGAGTAAAAATATTATCCATTTATGAGTATTTGTTGCTCAACCCCCGATCATAGATTTAAGGACACCCCCTAGAAACGTTCAATTTTTGTTTTTTTTTAGAACATTTAAAAGATTATGAATGGAAATACGATGAGGCAAATAGCTCAATATCATTTTCAAATTTTGTATACCAAAGGTTCACCCAAAGTTACATTTATTATCAAAATTTACTCTGAAGAATCATGATTGATTTTCTCAAAATTGATTTGAAAAAAAAATTGAAATTAAAAGTAGTAGTAGGACCTTTATGCTATACCACTCATAGCATTGAAATAACCTAAGGAGATCAAAAATTGGACGTAAAATGAGAGAGCTTTGAACAAAACACATTTGCATGTTCACCATCCGGAAGAACTTTGCTGCATGTACAACTTTGACGATGACAGTTACTTCCTGACCTTAAACTATAGCATATACAAATATTTTACATGCACACTAGCACCGCATGCCGAAAATATTTTGAACTACTTACTGTTCACCAGCAAAACAGCTTTGATCTCAGAAAACAAGTTTGCCATAGACAGTTATTTTCTAGCTCTTCGAGCTGTAGCATATATGATGACTGCACGTATATACCAGCGCAGCGCAGTGAGAAAATTCTGAACTACTGTTCACCAGCCAAAAGATCTTGACCTGCAGAACAACATTGCCGAAGACAGTAACTTTCTATTTGGTCAGGATCTCGAGATATTTTATACGTGAAAACTTCACGTGTATACTAGCGCCGCGTAGTGAGAAAATTCTGAAACATTTTGCACCAAAAAATAAGCTTTAGGCTCCTGAACAACTTTGTCGCAGACAGTAACTTTCTATCTGGTCAGGATCTCGATATATTCCATGTTGAACTCAATTAAGTCAAATCCCACGTAGTATGGTCACATTTTGCGCGGCTTCCATTTACATTTTCCCTATTATCCACATTTTTTAGGTGTTTACTGTAATCAAAGTTTAGCTTGTTTGGATCAAAACAAGTTTGTTGATGAACAAAACTCAGCAACAAAATGGCAATGGAAAACTCATGTGTGTTGTACAAAGTACAACAGCGCGAGTAACGGAAGTTTAAAGAAGGTGGTAAAATAAAAAAGATAAGAAAATAAATAAATAAATAAATAAATAAATCTATAAATAAATAACTAAATAAATAAATCAATAAATAAATAAATAAATAAATAAATAAATAAATAAATAAATAAATAAATAAATAAATAAATAAATAAATAAATAAATAAATAAATAAATAAATAAATAAATAAATAAATAAATAAATAAATAAATAAATAAATAAGAAAATAAATAAATAAATAAACACATAAATAAATAAATAAACAAATAAATAAATAAACAAATAAATAAATAAATAAATAAATAAATTATGGGCGAATTATCAGAACCTGATTAAGAATCTATTAAGCTTGGTGGAGCAATGTCGATATTTTGAACCACCCTAATATCTACGGAATTCGGTCTACCTATAGTTGCTAAATTCATAGTCTGGCGGATAGAATTTTGATCTATCAAAAAGCGGAACGAATTCAATATATTGTAGACCAACAATTGAAAAGGCTCTATCAGCTTTTATAAACAAAACGTTGATTATTCTTTCCTCGCCAATCGAACAAAAACTACCGGCATCATCGGATAGGGAAAACTTTCCTCAACCCAAAGATGGTGTTAGTTTGCGTAGGCGAGCCTTGAGTCACGAGAAAAGGGCTGCCGAAGTTTGGTTCGCAATAACTGATGTGTTCTTTTCTGTTGTTGGTCGTGATTTGCTCGATTGGTTCCGCTATTTGACAGTCCAATTGCTTCCCGACATTCTATCCGCCAGACTATGCATATAGCGACTCTAGGTCTACCGAGCCTCGAAATTATTCACAGATACACCTTTCGATTCCAAAACGAGCACCCCCAACCGAAACATTCCAATTACCATCAATTTCGCATCGAGCGCGACGACAACGCATTTCAACCGATTTAATCACATAAATTCTCACCTTTTCCATTGGCACAAAGCAGTCATCGTTTCGCTGCTTGACCGGACCCCGTCCATAGGCCGGTGGGGGCCGTGGCTTAGGTGCTCTTCGATTGTTTTGCACCGCGTGCTTATCTCGTAGTTCCACTTCGAGCCGCAGAATGGCGTTCGCCGCTTCGTTCGATGACGGTACACTCGATTGAACTGCATTTTCCGGAACGTTGATGTTCAGATTGCGTCCGGCGGTGTTGGTGTTGGCAACTGCTGGGCCCAATTGGTTCTGATGATGTGGTGGAATCGGTGGCGGCAGTAGCTCGCTGTTGCCATCGTAGCCATAATCAAGCCCTGCAAACGACGGACCATCGCATCGCGGTCAAAGAGAGAGGCAAAGTTTTACGAATTTATTTTCAACATGCAGTGAAATTTGCAAAGCAAATCATTTTTTTGTTTATTCCTGGCAGGTTACTCAAGGGGGCCTTATGCAGCTGGCCTAGTTTCTGAGGATGGATTTATTTTTTACGAGGATGAGTTTGGGTTTTATGGTCGTTTTTCCTCCAATGAATAATTCAACAGCAATTATCCAATCTGTCGAAAACGAATATTGCAAGCCGGCAGTTACCTTGGTTTATGAGGAATCTGATTTTTTTTCGACGGATTTTCCGTTTGTTTTGGCAGGGTAAAGAATGTATCTTCCATATTCAATGGTCCATTACACCGGAAAATAGCATCAGCTGAACAAGATGCAATTGAATGTGAGTTTATGGATCGTTGGATTGATGGTGAAATTATAATGCAAGCAAAGCTTCTTTCAAAAATGTTGCCAAGAGTAGTTAGGTACATGTTGAACAAATTCAACTATCATCTTAACACTATTTTCCTCCTAGTTCACTATCTCAAGCGGAAGCGGTTTCATGCGCATCATATTGGAGTGCTTTACCCAAAAAATAGGCCAAAAGTCCGAAGCCTGAAATGCATGAATCTCATGTTTTTGTTGTTTATTTTGTAACAACCTATCGTAGCCATCACACAGTTACCATTCAGAACCTAAATATTACTTCTCTTATCCCACACAACTGTCACTATTAAAAGCCCTTGAGTAATCACTTGGTCGTTTTTAAAAGTGTATCTTCTCAGTAACGCAGTGCAAATATATAAAAATCGAATGAAATAATTATCTTTTAACATAGTTATTCGAAAGAGTTGACACAATGATTTTAAACAGATTCCTAGTATGAAAACATAAAATTAACTACCATATTGTCACGAAAAAAAGCAATGAAAATTGGAAAAAAATGTGAAACATTAAATTAATGATGCAGTTACTTTCCGGGCTTTCCTTACATACACTTATACACCAAAAACAATTAATTTGGAATATTCTTAACAATTTTCAAAAAAGGTGCTTGTGTGCTATTTTTAAAAGTCCTATTCAATGCATTAAGTTTTTCAAAGTCTAGAACGGCAAATTGCCATATATTTAGGTTATTTTCTATGATAGGTAATGAAAGAAGGTAACGGGTCATTAGGAAAACCGCCACTAGGCTGAAATTTTAAAAGTGTCTCAGTTTTCTATATACGGCACCAGTTTTTTTTTTTTTTTTTTTTTATCTTTGGTTTGTTTTCCGTCGATCTTTTATTCCGTGCTGAGCACCAATCCTACTGACGCCAGAGAGGCAGCTCCCACACCTGGCCCCTATCGACCCATCAACTCATGAACCGGTGACCAACGGTTTTACTTCCGGCGTGATTAGAGATGCTATGCCTCAGAACTTCCCATTGGCGCCGACTGGAATTGAACCCAGGCCTGCTGGGGTGAGAGGCAATCACGCCGCTGGCATCAGTTTTGATCCGGTTTATTAAAATAATGAGCAGCTGCAGTCCATCTATGATATCAAAAATTATTCCCAACATTGTTAAACGCAAGTTAGCTCTATAAGCCACTTTTTGACTGTATAAGCTATCCTGCTGTTAAAATTTTTAGTTGGTTTGTTACAATTTACATTGAAGGATCTGCTCAAGTTTCAATTGTGATTGTGTAGTATAGATGGGGTCAAATTCCAGGACTCTGATGCTTTTAGGCACCGTACATGCCATACCAGTAGACAGGGGGTGGCATCATACATCTCTACCAGCAGATAAATTAAGTTCTGTGTAATCCACGAATGTAAAACATTTGTTTATTGTTATGGCCATAAAAATTACATGAGATTTTCGACATGATTGAAGTGCATCCTCTACGGATGTTGTTTATCTTCCGGACGACGGTCCCATGGCTATCTAGGTACATGTTTATGTCACGATCACAAATTCATTCTTATATCACAGTTCCTAATGTTTTTGAAAAAAAAAAACTGCGGAGCTCTAGGATCAGTTTCATTGATTGACCTCCTTTACGGATGTTCTGGACTTACCAGAGGATGGATTCATGGCCGTTTGGGTCCATGTTTATGTCATGACCCCAAGTTCTTTCTAATATCGCAGTTCCACATGCTTTCGGAAAATCAGTAGAAATCTCGGATCAGTTTCGAGGATTGACCATTTTTAAAGATGTCCTAGATCTTGCGGAGGACGGTCCCATGGCCTTCTAGGTACATGTTTATGTCACGACCGCAAATTAATTTATATATGACAGTTCCAAGTGTTTTCGAAAAAAAAAAACGGTGGAGCTCTAGGATCAATTACATACATTGACCACTTTTCCGGATTTTTCGGATCTTCCGAAGGACGGTCCGATGGCCTTCTGGGTCCATGTTTATGTCACGATTCCAAATTCGTTCTAATATCACAGTTCCTAACGTTTTCAATAAAACGACGGAGCTCTAGGATCAGTTTCGTTTAAAAAAACGGGGAGCTCTAGGATCAGGAACGTGAATCTTCCACATTCACGGATGTTCCAGATCTTTCGCTGGACGGTCCCGTGGACATCCAGGTTCATGTTTATGTCACAACCCCAAACTCATTCTATCATCACAGTTACTAATGTTTAAAAAAAACGGAGAGCTCTAGGATCAGGATCGTGAATCTTCCACTTTCACGGATGTTCCGGATCTTCCGTTGGACGGTCCGATGGCCATCTGGGTCCATAACCAAATTCATTCTTATATCACAGATCCTAATGTAAAAAAAACGCGGAGCTCTAGGATCAGTTTCATGGATTGACCACTTTTACGGATGTTCCGGATTTTTCGAGGACCGTTCCGTTATCTCCACGATCCATTTATAGGAACCATGACTGTATTCTGGTTAATTGTGAACATTTGTGCACATTAATCTAAATTACAGATCTTGCGCCACTTGCAAAACCCTACAAACACACCTTTCAAAAAAACGTGTAACAGCTCTTTTCGCTTTTTTAAAAGTACACGACTCTATTTCCAATTTTTTAACAATCAAAATCATCTGCAAACCCTAGGAATTCTAAAGGTACCATAATTTTTGAAATTTATTAAGAAATGGCTAAGTTGTGCCATTGCAAACTTGCTGTTACACGTTTTTTGGAGGCATCGTATTCGGAGTGTTAATATTCGAAATCACTTTAGAAAGTATAGAATCATTGCGGAAAGTTCAACTTGAAAATTATTGAATCACTTAGGAATGCACTGAATAACTTCGGAAATGTTCAGAATCACTTCGAAAAATACTGAATATCTCCAGGTATGTTTGGAATCACATACGTCATACATCGCGTTAGAAGGTGTGATCAGAAGAGCTGGGATAGACACGAGTGGCACGATCTTCAGGAAGTCCATCCAGCTTCTTGGCTTCACCGATGACATTGACATCATGGCGCGGAACTTTGAGACGATGGCGGAAACGTATATCAGACTGAAGGCTGAAGTTAGGCGGATTGGACTTGCCATCAACGCATCAAAGACAAAATACATGAAAGGAAGAGGTTCTAGGGAAGACAATGTTAGCCTCCCACCCCGAGTTCAGATTGATGGTGACGAAATCGACGTGGTCGATGAGTTCGTGTATTTGGGCTCACTGGTGACCGCCGAAAATGATACCAGCAGAGAAATTCAAAGACGCATTATGGCAGGGAATCGTGCCTACTTTGGACTCCGGAGGACGCTCCGGTCGAATAAAATTCGCCGCCGCACGAAGTTGACTGTCTACAAGACGCTTATTAGACCGGTGGTCCTCTACGGCCACGAGACCTGGACTATGCTCGTGGAGGTGTTTCCGAACGGAAGGTTTTTCGTACCATCTACGGTGGAGTGAAAATGGTTCTAGAAAGCGACCCAACAGGAACAAGAAGAAGGGGCGCGCAGCGGGCAAGGTGGATCGACCTAGTAGAAGGCGACTTGTGGACCCTTCGCAGACTACGAGGCTGGCGAAGTGTGGCCATGGATCGAGTAGAGTGGAGACGACTTCTTCGGACAGCAGAGGACAACAAGGCCTTAGTCTGATTGGTAAGGTAAGTATGAATCACTTCAGGAACGTTCGGAATTACTTTGGATATTCTGAATAGCTTCAAAAAATTTCACTTCGGAAAGCACTGAATTATTCCAGAAGTACTGAATCACTTCAGAAAAAAATGGAATCACTCCTGAAAGTTCTGAATCACTTCAGAAATGTTTGGAATAACTACGAAAAGTACTGAATAATTCCATATAGTTTGTAATCACTTCCGAAAGTACTGAATCACTTCAGAAAGAATTGAATCACTTTTGAACAGTTTGAAATCAATTCTGAAAGAAATGATTTACTTCAGAAAAGCACTGAAATTCTTGGGATAGTACTAAATGACTTAAGAAAATGTCTGAATCCATTTGGAAAATACTAAATCTTTCCAGAAAGTTTGTTATCGCTTTCGTAAAAACTAAATAATTCCGGAAAGAACTGAACAACTTCACAAATTTTCCGTACGTACTGTATCAATTTTCTCAAGTTTACAATCACTTCTTCAAGAGTTGAATCACTTTGTAATAATTTAATCATTTCAGAAAAGTTTGGAATCCCTTCAAAAAATATTTAATCACTTCAGGAAAATCGGAACTACTTTGGAAAGCACAGAATCATTTTAAAAAAAGTTCAAAATCTCTTCTGAAAGTACTGAAACACTTTAGAAAATCTCGGAATTAGTTTGAAAAGTACTGAATTACAGCAGAAAAACTTCAGAAAGTATTGAATCACTTCAGATAGTACAGACATAATTGAGCATGAGTATGATTAACCGCTCGCGGTTGCTACTCTCTTATTTCCAGATTACCTGACAGAGAAGCAACAAATGATGCATTGGACTAGCATGCATCTGCAATGTGTAAAAACTGGTGATCTCATATTTAACGATAGCCAATAGCAGCGCTGGCCGCTTCCAAATGTAGGTCAATTAGACCGTC